TGAGATATAAAAGAAAGAAGCTAGCAGAGAGACAGGGGGACCTCATACCACCCAGAAAGTAGTGCCAGGAGCACAGCGTATCGTTTGGACCTGGGGTCCCTGCACTGAGAAGCTCCTAGACCAGGGGAAGATTGATGACAAGGATCTTCCTCCAGAGCTGACAGAAAGAGAAAGCCTTTCCCTGGAGCTGGCGCCCTAAATTCGGAGTTCTAGCCTCCTAGACTGTGAGAGAATAAACCTCTGTTTGTTAAAGCTGTCCACTTGCGGTATTTCTGTTACACCAACACTAGATAACTAAGACACCAGCTGAGTGCAAACTGTTTGCACCACCCAGGAACCTTTGTAATTTTGGTTTTTTTAAAATGATAATAATCTGCTCATCTTAGAAATTTGTAAAGATAACCACTAGTAGAACAAACAGAATGTGTCACCTTCAAAACGGTGGACAGATGGGTCTGCCAAGGTTCTTGGTTGCAAACAACCAAAAATGACTCTCACCAACTTAAGCAGAAAAGAAATTGATGGAAGGGCTGTCAGTATCAACAGGAAAACTGGGAAACCTGGCGGAGAAAATGGGCAGAAAGCAAGGGCACTGAGCAGCAGGAAGCCCAGGGAGCACCAGGGTAGGGTGCTGCGTTAGCACTGCTGCCCCTGGATGTGGCAACTGTCATGGGTCTTGGTGTCACCTGCTCCAGATACAAGTCCCAGGTTGGACCGTTCAGCTGGCTGAGTCCAAGTTATGCGCAGTAGACGTCACTGAGTGGAGAATGTCCCTTTCAGCTTCCATAGTGGGAGCCTGGGTGTGGCCTCCCACCAAGAGTCACATTTTGAGGGATTCCCCCCAGTGGGGAGGGAGTTCAAATACGGGGGAGCCCTCCCCTCAAAAAATCCTCTCTACAATGAAAACTTGGAACAGAAAAAACTTGATCGGTCCATTGGAAGATAAGAATATGGGGAGGAGCACTGAGAAGTGTGCAGAATGCGGTGGGCTAGATACGGTATGCTCCATGATACTTGACATCTCCTGGGTAGAAACAGTACTAAACCAGAGTAGGAGTGGGAAAATGCACCTTCGTAAGAATTTGCTGATGAGGCTAGTCTTTGACTTTGAATTTCTAAAGAATGCAAACTTTTTCTGAGAAGGAAACGTTATTCCAGTATATTCACCCTGGCCTTCAGGAATATAGGCAGAGAGGGTTGGATGGGATGGACTGTGGGATCTAGGACCCATCAAAAAGGAAGTGAAGATAGGAGAAAGCAGAGCAGCCAAAAACCCAGAAGGTTAGGTGAGGTGGAAGACTAAATCTACTGCCGAGGCAATAGGGTAAGAGAGCAGGAAGGAGGCAGTCGTGGCCAAGAGTTCAGTTCCAGAGATGGGAAAACTAGAGATACTGGGGGTGAGGATGTGTCCAATGGGCAGAGAGGCCGGGTGGAGGAGAGGTCGCCAGAGCTGCAGGAAGTCAGGGCATCAGTGGGTGTGATTGTTAAGGCTGTGTGTCGACGTGGCTGGGCCATGATTCTCAGTGGTTTGGCAGTTATGATGTAGTTTGATAGTTGTAGAATGATGTAATCACCTCCATGATGAGATCTGATATCATATGGTCTTTTCCATGGTAGGATCTGCTGTGAGTAGTCAATCAGTTGAAAGGGAGTTTCCTTGGGGGTGTGGCCTGCATCCAATATAGGTAGACTTTATGGATCCTGCACTAGCTCCTGTTCGTCTGACCTCCGGTTCTTGGGACTTGAGCTAGCAGCTTACCTGCTGATCTTGGAATTCATCAGCCTCCACAGTATATGAGCCAGTGCCCTGCCAGCTTACCTGCTGATCTTGGGATTTGTCGGCCTCCACAGCCTGTGAGCCAGAGGCCTGTTGTCTGATCTGCTGATCTTGTGTTCGCCAGTCCTTGTAGCTACCTGAGTCAGGAGAAGCCTCCAGCCTGACCCACGGACTTGGGTCTTTCCAGCCTCTACAACCGGGTGAGCCGTTTCCTTGATATAAATCTCTCTCTCTCTCTCTCTCTCTCTCTATATATATATATATAGGTATATGTAGATGCTTCACTGGTTTTGCTTCTCTAGAGAACCCAGCCTAAGACAATTGGTCACCCACATGGGCTATGAGGCAGGAGTAGAGTAGGTGGGAAGTAGACAGAGCCCCAACTCTTGCACATATGAGGAAAGGGGATGTGGTGACCACAGCCGGCGGGGGGAGGTGACGGGAGAACCCAGATGACCAGACACTTACAGAGAAGTTGAGGACTCCTGGCCTGGGAGTAGCACTGGGGACCCAGGAGAATGCAGCCCTGCACCCTGACCAGGGTGGAAGAAAGGGAGGGGAGAGGAATATGAGGAGTGGCCCGTCACTGAAGTTCACAGTTGACCATCAGGCGAAGATGGGGAACCTCGATAGGCTGGCTGGTCTTTCCATCTGTAACCCAAATTCTCAAGGACTGAGTCCAGAGCTGCTGTTTCCACTATCCACAGTAACCAGTGACCCATGACAAATGGGACCTGTTTGCAGACCTGCTGTGGAGATGCTCAGAAGACGTGTGGAGCATACATTTATACCATAGAGCACATATCTCCCATCTCCCCTTTGTCTGCCCAAGACTTCTTTGCACACAGTAGGCCCTTCATAAATCCACACTGAATAAAGTACCTTAACTTGATTTAAGAGAGGCCTCTGGAGTCCGGAGTTCATCTCTGGGAACAACTGCAGACTCCAGCTAAAGTTTTGGGTCTAGCTGCTCCCCTCACCCTTCCCCAAGACTTCCTGGGAGTCCATTTCAGAGGGGGTGCCTGGGCCCTTATGGCTCTGCACAGCCCGTTTCTGAAGAATCCCCTCAGTCTCTCCAGTGGGTCCTCCCCCTGCTCCCACCCCCTCCCCAAGGCCTCCTGCTTGGGGACCACCCCAAGTTGGGGCTCAGGCTGTTTATATTCAGCCAGGACAGACTCAGGCCCACCCACTGAGAAAGCGTGCCCAAGGCCCCTCCCAAGCAGCCCCCCATCCCTGCTCTGGCCTCCATGGGGCCACCACTTCTCCCCACTGTCTTTGAGAGCCTTGGCATCCCCTCAACGCCTTTTGCACCCCTCCCTGCTCGGATGTGGCCCCACCAGCTGAGCCTCCCCACACTTGACAGCCCAGGCTGGGAGGCTGCCTCAGCGCCTCAGACAGCACGGCCAGCTCTTCTGTCCTTGGCAGCCAGGGTTTTGCCAGCCTCTTCCCAGCTCAGCAGACTGGACTGGATCAGGGTCTTACTGGACCAATGTCTGGAAGTCCCCCCGCTGTGGCTTAGGTGAGACTGAAGGGACTCCCCTAGGGTTGGCCAAGCCCTTCCAAGTGCAGCCCACAAGTCACATGAGTGCAGCCTGAGCTTGGACAGAACGCCAGCTGAGAAGAAGGTGAGATACAAATTGTGTGCAGACGAAGACTGCAACCACACAAAACGTCACTGGACGGAGACATGCCAAATACAGACGATGGTGGCCTCTGGAGAGGGAGGTTATAGGTACCCGTTTATCAGCAGTTGGGCCAAGTCCAACTCGTGGCCACCCCACGCGTGTCAGAGTAGAACTGTGCTCCATAAGGTTTTCAATGGCTAATTTCTTGGAAGTAGATCTTCAGGCCTTTCTTCAGAGGCACTGCTGGGTAGACTCGAACCTCCAACCTTTTGGTTAGCAGCCAAGCACGTTAACCACTTGCAGAACCCAGGAACTGCAAGGTTATGGGTAGTCTTTAATTTTTAAACATTGTTTTCATATTTGCTTATCTGTGCTTTCCAAATGTCTACAATGAACATTTATTATTTTTGTAATTGAATTAAAAAAACTAAACAGCACTGTCTGCAACCCTGTACAACCTGCTCCACTTACAGGCAGAAACCTGGGGCATGGGCTGGGGGCTTTCTGCAGGCGGAGCGTGGATCGACTCCCCGACGGCACCGTGCCATCTTCATCTAGGCCATCCTGCAGCTCCCAGCCAGGGGTGCCCATCTCCTCTCAGGAGGACAGATCCCAGGAACACCCGGACTCCTTGTGGCAGGATTGGGTGAACCCCTGGATAAGCTTCATCCACTGACTGAGTCCTGACTGAGCACCGAATTGGCCCCTGGGGACTCAGGATGGGACTTAGTTTCATGGAGTTATTTGCTCCTTCCTTCTTCTCATCTCCTCCAGCCCAAAGCAGAACCCTGCCCGCAGGGTCACTCTTTGCCCTTGGCCGACCCACAGCAGATTATTTCCCCCAGAGATAATCTGAGCAGCCAGGTTCAGTACTCTGCTCACCTCCCAAGCTGCCTGCGCTGAGGCAAGGCTGGGGGCAGGCAGGGGGGGCTCTGCTCACACGTGGCCCTCAGTTCAGTGCCAAGGCTCCCCCCTCCACCTCCTCCTATCTCCCCCGCCCCCCTCCACCCCCCCACTTCTAGCATAAGCGAAAAACAAGCCCTCAGTGGCTCTTGGTTATGGGGAGCACCTGGAGGTCAGGGAGGAAATGGAGATGGTACGCAGACAGTAATTTCCGCCTCATTAATCTGAGGGTATCAGCAATTTCTTTACAAGCAGTGTCTTCCGCACACACGGAAACCACAGCTTAAAGTGCCAAAGCAGACACTGTAGAGTGTCGGGCTCCTTTCGTTTGGGAACCGAGGCCTGGAAAGATGAGGCGAGTCACTGGGATACGACGAGGTGGCAGCAGAGATTGCATCCACATTCCCTGGATCCTTAGGTGCCCCTGCCCCCCAGCAGCCCCACCAGGCAGAGATCCCAGAGCAGAACAAGGGTACTGGGGGCCAGTGGGGTTCAGTGGGAGGAGGCAGGTGCAGGGAAAAGCTAGAGATGGGCAGAAGGGGCCAGAACTGCAGAGGCTGGATAAGAAATAGGAAGAAAGCAGGGCCAAGTGGGAACGTTCCAGAAATTGGAGAGTGTTGCTGTGTTCCTGTTAACTGAGGGCCAACGTTTTTGCAGGGAAGCACTTGAACCAGGCAGACTGGTGGTCCTGGGGGTCTAGCGGGCAGCTGCACCTTTATGTCCCTTATGAGGGGTAAAAGACAGTACGGCGCTTAGTGCAACGCGGTCCTCAGCAATCAGGGATCACTCCTCTTTCTCTCAGGATCGCCCTCAATCTCAAACACGTGGTTGGGGGCAGGAGTCACTGAGGTGCTGGTCAGAGTTTCTAGGCTGAAGTGGGGACAGGACACAAGGGGGCAAGTCATGAAGACGTCTCTGCAAAAGAAGGCAGGTTGAGGCCCCCCCAAACTGCACGTGGCCCTCTGACCTCCGGTTAAAGCTTTTTCGAGGCTCCCTCAGCAGAAGTCAGTCTCCTGCAGCCCCTCTGGGCCACCATTCTCAGCCAGAGGGAGGGCTCTGCCGCCCGGGGAGCCCAGGTCATACAGGGTGCTGCCTGTGGTCATCCTGCTGAAGCTGTGGGAGCCGTGGCGGGGTCTGTGGTGGCAGCACTGGGCCCCAAAGCACAAGGCTTCCTGAAAGTTTTCTCGGAAGCGGCTGGACATGAGGCTGTAAAGCACGGGGTTGACGGCTGAGCTGAGGTAGAAGAAGACGCCAGAGATGACGTGCAAGTACTGATAGGCCAGATGCAGGCTGTCTGTCCAGTGGGACACGAGGCTCCACATGAGGCGGTCAGCGTGGAACGGGGCCCAGCAGATCCCAAACACCACAACCAGCACAACTGTGGGGCAGAGAGGGAGATCTGAGTGCCGCCGGAGCCCCTCACTGCCTTCCCCAGCTGCAGTCTGGCCTGCCCCATTTTCACCTCCTCTCCTGTCCCACAGACCACCATTGCCCACCGCATCTGGAAGTTTGCCTGCCCTGGCCACACCAGTCTCATGACCGGGCAGTGGGCCCCGTGTCTACCTCCTGGCCACAGCTGATGGGACGGGGTGGACATCTGAGCCAAGCTGACCCAATGATTCTGTCACCATGGGATTAGGAATTGTTAGGTGCCTCTTAGCTGCGGATGCTGAGCCACTAACGGGATGCAGATGGTGGGGCTGAGGCCAAGTCAGAGTGCCTGTGTGGAGGCCAGGCTTGCCGAGGCATAAGTGAGAGAAGCAGGAGAATAGGGCACATGCTCAGAGCAGTAGACAGTGAGATTGTGGAGCCAGAGAGAGTAAGACACGCACACCCAACCACACGTTCCACATAAACACACCACACACTCTACACACACACACACACACACCACACAAACACACCACACACTCCACACAAATACACACCATACCACATCACACCACACACACACCACATACACCACACCACACACTGCATACACCACACAAACACACCACACACTCCACACAAACACGCACCACACAAACATACCGCACACTCCACACAAATATGTGCCACACAAACACACCACACACTCCACACAAACACACACCATACCACATCACACCACACACACACCACATACACCACACAACACCCTCCACACACACCACACCACAAACATACCACACACTCCACACACACACCACACACTCCACACAAGCACACACTGCACACACCACACACACACACCACATCACACCATGTACCACACCACACACGCAAACACACCATACCACATCACACCACAGAAACTCACCACACACACACCACAGAAACACACCACACACTCCACACAAATACACTATATCACATCACGCCACACACACCACACATACACACACACAAAACACACTACACATTACACGCCACACTATTACACTATGCCTGCCTCGGCCGTGCAAGCCTTCCTAGCCCCAGCGCCCCATACTAATTGCCTCTTCACTTGAGAGGGTACTCCCGCCCCACCCACCTTCTGCAAAAGGCAGGACAGGCTGGCCCAGCTCTCACTCTCCTGGGCCTTGGTCTGAACCAGCCATGTCCTTCCTTGGGTCTGTGCCTTGATTTTTGTTTATTTCTTGTGTTTACTTCTCCAACTGTCTTTCCTTTGGAGTGTCTTCCCCGTCATACCCTAGCGTGGTTTTCCTCAAAATCCTGTGTTACAAACAGGATATTGCTTACAAAGCCCCCAGGACACAGCCTGGTGCACAGTAGGCCCTCAGAAAGTACAACAGGAGAGAGGGGGAGGGAGAGAAGAAAGCCAGCGAGTCCCAGGCCAGTAAGCAAGGCGGCCTTAAGGAAACACCCCACCACCTTCTGTCCCAGGTGAGCACCACTGCAGACTTCGCCAAGTTTTCGGGGGGTGGGGTGGCAGGGGGTGGTGGTAGAGCAGAGAGGCAATTGGTTTTCAGTGCAGGCCAAGCCTGCCTCAGCCTCACCCTCATGCAGAGCTGGGAGGCCAGCACAGAGCTCTGGGGTCAGTCCTGTCTGAGAGGCATGAGGGATGGCCTCTCTCTCTGTCCCCAGTTAGCTGGCCATAATCCTGCGGGTTTGACCACGGGTCTCCCCAGCTCTCTCCCCTGCCCTGACTCACCCCACCTACCTGATTCTGGGGCTGCTGAGGTGGGGCTGTGCTGGGGTGGAGTGGGATGGCGAGGGAACCAATGATCTGCTTAGTATTAGCTTGTCTTACTTCCCAGGGGCCACTATTTTTGAAGAAGAGTCAGGTGTCTGGGCCACGGTAAGGTCTGCAGAGCCTCAGCCCAGCTGCGTGGGCCCTGGGCTGCACTAATCCACACTTGGACTTCTGTCCCGATTCTTCTGGGCTCTGACACCAAAACAGAAAACCAAACCCATTGCCATGGAGTCAATTCCAACTCATGGCGACCCCATGTGTTACAGAGTAGAACTGCTCCATAGGGTTTTCTTGGCTGTAATCGTTATGGACGCACATCGCCAGGCCTTTCTTCTGCAGTGCTTCTGGGTGGGTTGGGACCACCAACCTTTAGGTTAGTAGTTGAGCGCAAACCATTTGCACCACCCAGGGAGTGCTCTGACCCTCACAAACAGGCCTCTTGACCAGCCTCTTGTAGATGAATCACCACTCCTGTGTACATTCCACTCTCTCAAGAGAGCCACAGACACCACCTAGAGGAAATTCATCATCTGGCCTCTCCAGCACCCCTCCCTTCTTCTAGGCTCAGCATGCTCCTTCCCTTCTTGTGGGAACGCTCCCACCATGTGGTTCCACTGGGGGCTGCCCTCTTTACCACCTTGCCACTCTGGCCCAGGGGGTGGGCCATGACCTAAACCCCACCAATCAGAACCCTTCCCTGGATTTTTCAATAGCGACTAAAGGAAGTTCTCAGGAAAGAGGACTGTGCCCTGTGGCCATGCCCCTGGGCTGCTTAGTGTCAGCTTGTCTTGCAAACCACAGAAAGGTACATGGTGGGGTGTGTGTGTGTGTGTAGTGTGTGTGTAGTGTGTCAGGGCCTGTGGATGACAGAGCAGGGACTGAGCCTGAGACATATTTAGGGGCCAAGATGAGAGACCTGAAAGGCCCAGGTCCCTGCTCTGTCATCCACTGGCCCTGATACGCACGACACACACACACACACACACACATACACACCACACACTCCACACACACACCACACCACACACCTTTCTGTGGTTTGCTTCCATGAGCCAGGGCCAGTTTCCTGGGTGTGAACTGTGATTGCATAGGGCCCCAAACACAGACGGGCCCTCTGGTTGGCATCATGCTCTACTGCTGCCGTCTTGACATTCTTACTAATTTTTCAGCAAGGACCCTGAATTTAAAGTTTGCACTGGGCCCCGCACATTATGTAGCCCATCCTGCCATGAGCCAATAACAAATATCTTTGATAAGTTTCTAGCAGGGTAATCTAAAGGAGTACACGCACACACACACACACACGCACGCATGCATGGAGGGTGGGGAGACTTACCTCAAAACACCTACTCAGTTTTCATAAACCAAGCATACACCAGCGTTCCCTCAAGCCCTGAACCCCCAGCCTCATATCCTGTGCCTGGCTGAGCCCACTCTTCCCAGCAGTGACACTTACACAGCATCTTGGTCACCTGCCTCCGGCCCCTGTCCTGCAGCCTCTGCTGCAGGCTGCAGGTGTCACTGGACCTGGCCTCAGCGGCGCCTCTGCCCTTGGCCTCCCATCTGAGCAGCATGCTCTCACGCCTCAGCCGCAGCCCGATGAGCAGGTAGAGGACGCTGATGGTGGCCATGGGCAGGCAGAAGAAGAGCAGGGCGGTGGTCTGCACCACCAGCTTGTAGAGGGCCTGTGGGCGGACCAGGGTGCAGATGGCAGAGTCAGGCACCAGGCCCCGGCAGGGCACATCCAGCTGCTGGATGCCGTGGAGGCTGGTGTTGGGCACAGAGCAGAGTATGGCGAGGCCCCAGATGGCCCCAAGCACACGGCACACATGGGTCCGTGTCACCACAGACCGGGCCTGCAGCGGGTGCACCACGGCCACGTAGCGCTCCACGCTCAGGGCGGTGACGTTGAGCACGGAGGCCAGGCAGACTGTCTCAAAGAGCAGCGTGCGGAAGTAGCAGCCGTTGGCGCCCAGCAGGAAGGGGTAGTTGTGCCACATCTCGTAGAGCTCCAGGGGCATGCCCACGAGCAGCACCAGGAGGTCGGACATGGCGAGGCTGAGGAGGTAGTAATTGGTAGGTGTGCGCATGGCCTTGTGGTATAGGATGACCACGCAGGTCAGCCCGTTGCCCACGGTGCCCACGACGAAGATCAACAAGTACGTGGCACAGATGGGCACAAACAGGTCTGTCTGCTGGGGTCCCAGGTACTTGAGTCTCAGCATCTCGTCAGTCAGGTTCAGGTCCTCGGGTTCAAAGAGCCCCCAGGCCCTACTGCCATTGCAGGGGACAGGGATCCTTGTACTCTCTGGGGGCAGGTCTCCAGAGAGGATGGAGCAATTGAGGCAGAGAGGGGCCTGTGGAACAGATGGCAGAAACAACCAGAAAGGTCACTTGGTGGATCCTGGCTCTGTTATAATCTATCAAACCAAAGGGGCCATCGACGCTAAGGTGGCCATTATTTTACGTACTGCTGAGAAAAAAGAAAACAACTCATTGCCATCGAGTCAATTCCGACTCATAGCAACCCTATAGGACAGAGGAGAACTGCCCTACAGGGTTTCCAAGGAGCAGTTGGTAGATTCAAACTGTTGACCTTGTGGTTAGCAGCCGAGCTCTTAACCACTGCACCACCAGTGCTCCTCTTTTGGTTTTGAAAAAGAAAAAACTGTCATCCACTATAAGATGTACTACAATTTCAGAAACGTAAAAATGTCCACCTTAGTATAAGGACAGACATATAGACCATGGAATATTATTAAGAGTCCGGAAGTAAACTCATATATCTATGGTCAACTGATTTTCGACATAGGTGTCAAGTCCATTTAAGGGAAAAGAATAGACTCTTCAGTAAATGGTTCTGGGACAACTTTCATGCAAAAGAATGAAATTAGACCCATACCTCACACTACACCCCACGTGTCTGTCAGTTGGTTGTACTGTGGGGCTTGCGTGTTGCTGTGATGTGAGAAGCTATGCCACTGATATTCAATACCAGCAGGGTCACCTGCGGTGGACTGGTTTCGGCTGAGCTTCCAAACTTAGACAAACTAGGAAGAAGGACCTGGCGGTCTACTTCTGAAAAAAATTAGCCAGTGAAAACCTTATGAATAGCAGCAGAACATTGTCTGATATTGTGCTGGAAGATGAAACCCTCAGGTTGGAAGGGACTCAGAATATGACTGGGGAAGAGCTGTCGCCTCAAAGTAGAGTTGACTTTAATGACGTAGATGGAGTCAAGCTTTTGGGACCTTCATTTGCTGATATGGCACGACTCAAAATGAGAAGAAAAAGCTGCAAACATCCATTAATAATTGGAATGTGCAGTGTATAAAGTATGAATCCAGGAAAATTAGAAATCGTCAAAAATGAAATGGAAAACATAAAGATCAATATCCTAGGCATTAGTGAGCTGAAATGGACTGGTATTGGCCATTTTGAATCAGACAATCATATGGTGCACTATGCCGGGAATGACAAATTGAAGAGGAATGGTGTATTCATCGTCAAAAAGAACATTTCAAGGCACCGGATAAGTAAAGCATTATTCAAGAAGAAGAACAAAGTGGGAGGCATCACACTACCTGATTTTAGAACCTATTATACCGCCATAGTAGTCAAAACAGCCTGGTACAGGTATAACAACAGATACATAGACCAATGGAACAGAATTGAGAATCCAGGCATAAATTCATCCACCTGTGAACAGCTGATGTTTGACAAAGGCCCAAAGTCTGTCAATTGGGGAAAAGATAGTCTCTTTAACAAACGGTGCTGGTATAACTGGATATCCATATCTGCAAAAAACTGAAACAAGACCCATACCTCACACCATGCACAAAAACTGACTCAAAATGGATAAAAGACCTAAATATAAAATCGAAAACGATGAACATCATGGAAGAAAAAATAGGCACAACGCTAGGAGCCCTAATACCTGGTGTAAACACAATATGAACCATAAGTAACAATGCACAAACACCAGAAGAGAAACTAGATAACTGGGAGCTCCTAAAAATCAAACACTTATGCTCATCAAAAGACTTCACCAAAAGAGTAAAAAGACAATCCACAGACTGTGAAGAAAATTTTGGCTACAACAAATCTAATCAGTGTCTAATCTCTAAAATCTACAAGATACTGGAAAACCTCAACAACAAAAAGACAAGTAACCCAATTAAAAAATGGGCAAGGATATGAACAGACACTTTACCAAAGAAGACATTCAAGCAGCTAACAGACACATGACGAAATGCTCACAATCATTAGCCATTAGAGAAATGCAAATCAAAACTACAATGAGGTACCATCTCACCCCAACAAAGCTAGCATTAATCAAAAAAACATCAAATAATAAATGTTGGAGAGGTTGTGGAGAGATTGGAACAGTTATACACTGTTGGTAGGAATGTAAAATGGTACAACTGCTTTGGAAACTGATTTGGCGCTTCCTTAAAAAGCTAGAAATAGAAGTACCATACTATCCTGCTCCTTAGAATATATCCTAGAGAAATAAGAGCCATCACACGAATAGATATATGCACACCCATGTTCATTGCAGCACTGTTCATGATAGCAAAAAAATGGAAACAACCTAGGTGCCCATCAACAGACAAATGGATAAACAAATTCTGGTATATTCACACAATAGAATACTACCCCAACGATAAATAACAACGATGAATTTGTGCAACATAACATGGAGGAATCTGGAAGGCATTATGCTGAGTGAATTTAGTCAGTTGCAAAAGGACAAATATTGTATAAGACCACTATTATAAGAACTCAAGAAAAGGTTTAAACACAGAAGAAAATATTCTTTGATAGTTACGAGAATGGGGAGGGAGGGAGAGGGGTATTCACTAACTAGATAGTAGACAAGAATTATCTTAGATGAAGGGAAAGACAACACACACTACAGGGGAAGTCAGCACACCTGGACTAAACCAAAGCTAAGAAGTTTCCTGAATACAACCAAACACTTCGAGGGACAGAGTAGCAGGGGCGGGGGTCAGGGGACCATGGTTTCAGGGGTCATCTAGGTCAACTGGCATAACAAAGTTTATTAAGAAAATGTTCTGCATCCTACTTTGGTGAGTGGCGTCTGGGGTCTTAAAAGCTTACAAGCAGCCATGTAAGATGCATCAGTTGGTCCCAACCCACCTGGAGTAAAGGAGAATGAAGAACACCAAAGACACAAGGAAAATATTAGCCCAAGAGACAGAAAGGGCCACATAAACCAGAGACTTCATCAGCCTGAGACCAGAAGAACTAGATGGTGCCCGGCTACCACCAATGACTGCCCTGAGAGGGAACACAACAGAGAGTCCCTGTTGGAGCAGGAGAAAAGTGGGGTGCAGAACTCAAATTCTAGTAGAGAGGCTAGTTTTAATGGTTTGACTGAGACTGGAGGGACCCTGGAAGACATGGCCCCCAGACTGTCTGTTGGCCCAGAGCTGAAACCATTCCTGAGGCCAACTCTTCAGACAAAGATTAGACTGGACTATAGGACATAAAATGATATTCGTGAAGAATGTGCTTCTTAGTTCAAGTAGATACATGAGACTAAATGGGCAGCTCGTGTCCGGACGCGAGATGAGAAGGCAGAGAGTGTCAGGAGCTGGTTGAATCGACATGGGAAATCTAGGGTGGAAAGGAAGAGTGTGCTGTCACAGTATAGGGAGAGCAACTAGGGTCATATAACAAGGTGTGTATAAATTTTTGTATGAGAGACTAACTTGAATTGTAAACTTTCACTTAAAGCACAATAATAAAAAAAAAAGAACATTTCATGATCTATCCTGAAGTACAATGCTATCAGTGACAGGGTAATATTCATACACCTACAAGGAAGACCAGTTAATATGACTATTACTCAAATTTATGCACAAACCACTAATGCCCAAGATGAAGAAACTGAAGATTTTTACCAACTTCTGTAGTCTGAAATTGATCAAACATGCAATCAAGATGCGTTGATAATTACTGTTGATTGGAATGCGAATGTTGGAGACAAAGAAGAAGGACCGTTAATTGGAAAATATGGCCTTGGTGATAGAAACAATGCCAGAGATTGCATGAGAGAATTTTCCAAGGCCAACGACTTCTCCATTGCAAATACCTTTTTTCAACAACATAAGTGGTGACTATACACGTGGACCCTGCTGGATGGAATATACAGGAATCAAATTGACTGTATCTGTGGAAAGAGACAATGGAAAAGCTCAGTAACATCAGTCAGAACAAGGCCAGGGGCTGACTGCAGAACAGACCATCAACTGTTTACATGCAAGTTCAAGTTGAAGCTGAAGAAAATTAAAACAACTTCATGACAGCCAAAATGTGACCCTGAGTATATCCCACCTGAATTTAGAGACCATCTCAAGAACAGATTTGACACATTGAATACTCATGACTGAAGACCAGACGAGTTGTGGAATGACATCAAGGACATCATACATAAAGAAAGCAAGAGGTCATTAAAAAGACAAGAAAGAAAGAAGAGACCAAAAGGATGTCAGAAGAGACTCTGAAACTTGCTCTTGAATGTAAAGCAGCTAAAGCAAAAGGAAGAAATGATGAAGTAAAAGAGCAGAACAGAAGATTTCAAAGGGAGGCTAGAGAAGACAAAGTAAAGTATCATAATGACATGTGTAAAGATCTGAAGTTAGAAAACCAAAAAGGAAGAACACACTCAGCATTTCTCAAGCTGAAAGAACTGAAGAAAAAATTCAAGTCTCAAGTTGCAATTTTGAAGGATTCTATGAGCAGAATATTGAATGACACAGGAAGCATCAAAAGAAGATGGAAGGAATACACAAAGTCACTATACCAAAAAGAATTGGTCGATGTTCAGCCATTTCAGGAGGTAACATATGATGAAGAACTGATAGTACTGAAGGAAGAAGTCTAAGCTGCACTGAAGTCTTGGCAAAGAACACGGCTCCAGGAACTGATGCAATACCAACTAAGATGTTTCAACAAACAGATGTAGCTCTGGAAGTGCTCACTCATCTATACCAAGAAATGTGGAAGACAGATACCTGGCCAATCGACTGGAAGAGATCCATATTTATGCCTATTCCCAAGAAAGGTAATGCAACAGAATGAGGAAATTATTGAACAATATCATTAGTATCACATGCAAGTAAAATTTTGCTTAAGATCACTCAAAAGCAGTTGCAGCAGTACATCGACAGGGAACTGCCAGAAATTATAGCAGGATTTAGAAGAGGACATGGAACGACAGATATCAGGCTGATGTCAGATGAATTCTGGCTGAAAGCACAGAATACCAGAACGATGTTTACCTGTGTTTTGTTGACTATGCAAAGGCATTCTACTATGTGGATCATAACAGTTTATGGATAACATAGCGAAGAGTGGGAATTCCAGAACACTTAATTGTGCTCATGAGGAACCTGTACACAGACCAAGAGGCAGTTGTTCGAACAGAACAGGGGGATACTGCATGGTTTAAAGTCAGGAAGGGTGTGTGTCAGAGTTGTATCCTTTCACCATACTTATTCAATCTGTATGCTGAGCAAATAATCCGAGAAGTTAGACTATATGAAGAAGAATGGGGCATCAGGATTGGAGGAAGACTCATTAACAACTTGCATTATGCAGATGACACAACCTTGCTTGCTGTAAGTGAAGAGAACTTGAAGCACTATGAAGATCAAAGACCACAGCCTTCAGTGTGGATTACACCTCAACGTAAAGAAAACAAAAATCCTCACAACTGGACCAATAAGCAACATCATGATAAACAGAGAAAAGATTGAAGTTGTCAAAGATTTCATTTTACTCGGATCCACAATCAACACCCATGGAAGCAGCAGTCAAGAAATCAAATGACATTTTGCACTGGGCAAATCTGCTACAAAAGACCTCTTTAAAGTGTTAAAAAGCAAAGATGTCACTTTAAGGACTAAGGTGCGCCTGACCCAAGGCATGGTATTTCCAATAGCCTCGTATGCATGTGAAAGCTGGGCAATGAATAAGGAAAATGAAAGAGGAGTTAATGCCTTTGAATTATGGTGTTGGCGAAGAATACTGAATATACCATGGACTGCCAGAAGAAGGAACAGATCTGTCTTGGAAGAAGTACAGCCAGAATGCTCCTTTGAAACAAGGATGGCAAGACTTCATCTCATGTATTTTGGACATGTTATTAGGTGTGACCAGTCCCTAGAAATGGTCAGCATGCTTGGTAAAGTAGAGGGTCAGCGAAAGAGAGGAAGACCCTCAACCAGATGGATTGACACAGTGGCTACAACAATGGGCTCAAACATACCAAGGATTGTGATGATGGCGCAGGACGGGGCAGTGTTTCGTTCTGTTGTACACAGGGTGACTATGAGTCCGAACCGACTAGACAACATCTAACAACAACTTTAAAAAGTACATCTTAAAAATGATAAAATATGGTACTTCAATTTTTAATTTCACGATTTGTTGACACCTCTGAATAAGGAATGGACCCTCTCAAGCAGAGGCTTCGACATCCACAGTCTCCCCTATGTCTCTCCCCTTTCAAGACATGGAGTTCCACCAATGACCGCCCTGACAGGGAACACAACAGAGAGTCCCTGATGGAGCAGGAGAAAGGTGGGGTACAGAACTCAAATCCTAGTAAAAAGACAAGACTTAATGGTCTGACTGAGACTGGAGGAACCCCAGAAAGCATGGCCCCCGGACTCTCTGTCAACCCAGAACTGAAACAATTCCCAAGGCCAACTCTTCAGACAGAGATTGGACTCGACTGTGGGACATAAAATGATACTCGTGAGGAGTGTGCTTCTTAGCTCAAGTAGATACATGAGACTAAGTGGGCAGCTGAGATGAGAAAGTGAAGAGGATCAGGAGCTGGTTGAATGGATGCAGGAAATCGGGTGGAAAGGAGGAGTGTGCTGTCACAGTATAGGGAGAGCAATTGGGGTCACGTAACAGTGTATGTATACATTTTTGTATGAGAGACTGACTTGAATTGTAAACTTTCACTTAAAGTACAACAATAAATAAATAAATAAGACATGAGGTTCAGGAGAAGCCCTTGGAACCGCAGTTTGCACTCAGAGCCTCAGCTTGGGTATCTGTAAAATGCCCAATATGCAGTACTGCATTGTCTTTAAGAGCAGGGGGTCTGGAAGCAGCTGCATGGATTCAAATCCAGCCTCCCTCAACTCCTGGCTGTGACCTTGTGCACGGTCACTCTCCGAGGCTGTTTCCTTCTTATGAAGATCAGGGAGTTCAGTCCATAAAAGGACTAACACGAGACCTGCCTCACTGTGGGACTGAGCCACCGTGGGGACCAAGTGAGGGAATGAAAACACTATGAACTGTAATGCTGGATCCAAATGTTGGTGCTTGTTGTCTGTCAACTGAACTGTTCAAAGTCGAAATATTTGACACTCTTAATACTGCCAGTTCTGGGGTTCCCGCTTCTCCATAGGGCTCCCCATCTCTTTGCCCAGTCGCTGGGTATAATGGCTAAGAACCCAGGCCATGGAGCTAAACAGGCCTGGGTCAAATCCTGGCTTTGCCATTCCAGCTGTGACTTCCCCGAACTGTGCCTCAGTCTCCTCACCTGCAAAATGGGACATCCACAGAGCCTACCTCACAGTTCCTGTGAAGACTGGATGAGAGACATGTAAAGTTCTCAGGGGTGTGGCCGGCACATTTTAAGTGCTCCATTCAATCCAGCTTAGCATGATACTTGTTTCCCAGAAGGAAAAGGAAGGACAGAGTCCAGGGGGAGAAGGGCAGGAGCTGAAGCAGAATTCTGCTGGGCCTGTGTCCTGGTGGGACAAGGCTGGATGCCCGCCTGAGTCTGCTAGGGCCTGTGGGTGGGTTCAGTGCCCCCTACCACTCCACTTAAGCTTGATTCCTGGGTCCTCTCCCTACTCGTTCAGCTCCGTTCCCCATTGCCCCCGTGCCTGCTCACCCCCGGTTCCCCTTCCAAGGTCCTCCATCCAGGTCCTCAGCTCTTTCCCAGACTCTGGAAGCCTGCTTCACCCAGCCTCCCTGCCTCTCTCACACAGAATCCCCGCACCTGGGGCCCAGGCGCATTTTCACCCACTCCCACTTTTCGCACTAACCTGCTCCCGGGATGAGCCGGAGCGCGCAGGCGCCCTCTAGGGTTGGGGAGGCTCCCCCCGCCCCAGGAAGGGTCGTGCAGCGGAGCCCCCAGTCCCGCCCCATCAGGGAAATAGCCTCCGACCCCGCCCTGGGGCGACCTGCGAGCCCTTTCCTCTCCCCGGCCGCGACCCTGGCCCCCGCGCCGCCCCCTGCACCTACCATGCCGTCGGCGGGGCCACCCTAGCCCGGAGCCCACCGCCCAGCGCGGGGACGGCGCGTGTGAGGAGGACAGCGTCAGCGGACTGATGGACCGAAAGACGCGGTGCCTGGCGCCTGCGGACTGATGGACTGCGGCGAGCTGCCCAAGAGCAGACCGCCCCGTCGTCGCCCCGCCTGTCGCAGCCCCGGCGCCCTGGCTAGAGAGCCACCAGGGGGCAGTGCCACCCCCCAGCCTCCCGGCTGTGGGAGCAGGACACGCTCCCCTGAGGCGGCCTCCAAGCCCCCACACCCATCTAACGCTCGAGTTGTGTTCCGGGAACACCTTTATTTCACGGAACCCTCCCAACAACCCATTTCACAGATGAGAAAACTGAACCTCAGAGAGATGCAAATCTGGGCTCACACGCTGTCTCCACCCTCCAGCGTGCTGACTTTAGGATAATCACCTTGTCACAATGTCCCTCCAGTCCCCACCTCCTCCTGCCTCACATTTCAGATGCACTTCCAAGAATGTCCGACTAGCCCCTCAAAATCAACGTGCCCCAAAGGGGCTCATCCTGGCACTCTTTCAGCTCTCCCAGGATCCAGACCCCACTCCCAGAGCCAGGACTCCTCCTTCTCCCTCCTCCCCAATCCCAGGACTGCAGCCTCCGCTGCTCTCCCACCATCTCCCCTCTCAGATCCTCCCAGGGCAGCGTAGGAGCTTCCGTTCTCCCTCCAGCCCCACCTCCCACAGCCGGGCCGCCTTCCTGAGCCCCCAAGAGAGGCACGGCTTGCGCTTGACTTCCCCAGGGTCCCCATTTGTTCCTGAGAACACACCACAGTCTAGCCGCCTTCACTTGTCTTGTTAGTACCCCCTCTCCTCACTATGCTCCCTCAGCCCAATACCCTGTCCCTCATCCATTCAAATGTCCCCTTGCTCCCTTCCCCTACCACAGTGGGGGGTGGGGCGGGGAGAGAATGAGGGAGCCAGACCCCAGCCTCCCCGACTCCCTCAAACTACCCATGAAAATCCTCCGTCCGCCCTGTCCCAGGGCCCTCCCTGCCCATCACCTCCCGCAGCCCTGCTCCTCGGCTGGAAGTTATGTCTTCAGGGAACTTGCTAGGGAGTCTAGAAATACTGGGCCTCACAGGCTAAAGTGCTGCCTCCTGGGCCTCTTCCCAGAAAGTCTGATTCACCGAGTCTGGGGCAGGGCTCAGAAATCCTCATTTTTCTTTTTTCAAGTTTTTGTGTTATTGTACTTTAGACGAAGGTTTACAGGACAGATAGTTTCTCATTAAACAGTTAGTACACGTATTGTTTTATGACAATGGTCAATAACCCCATGACATGTCAACACTGTCCCTTCCTAACCTTGGGTTCCCTATCACCAGCTTTCCTGTCCCCTCCTGCCTTCTAGTCCTTGTCCCTGGACTGTTGTGCCCCATTAGTCTCGTTTTGTTTTATGGGGCTGTCTAATCTTTGGCTGAACAGTGAACCTCGGGAGTGACTTCATTACTGAGCTAAAAGGGTGTCCAGGGGCCATACTCTTGGGGTTTCTCCAGTCTCTGACAAGCCAGTAAGTGTGGTCTTTTTTTATGAGTTAGAATTTTGTTCTACATTTTTCTCCAGCTCTGTCCGAGACCCTCTGCTGTGATCCTGGTCAGAGCAGTCAGTGGTGGTAGCCGGGCACTATCTAGCTGTACTGGACCTCAGGCTGGTGGAGGCCATGGTAGCTGTGGTCTGTTAGTCCTTTGGACTAATCTTTTCTTTGTATCTTGTTTTCTTCATTCTCCCTTGCTCCCGAAGGGGTGAGACGAGGGGAGTATCTTAGATGGCTGCTCACAGGCTTTTAAGACTTCAGACGCTGCTCACCAAGGTAGAATGTAGAACATTTTCTTTATAAACTGTTATGCCAATTGAGCTAGATGTTCCCTGAAACCACGGTCCCCACAGCCCTCTGCCCAGCAGTTCAGTCCCTCAGGGAGTTTGGAAGTGTCTATGGAGCTTCCATGACCTTTTCCTGTACAAGTTGTGCTGGCTTCCCCAATATTGTGTACTGTCTTACCCTTCACCAAAGTTACTACTCACCTATTGTCTATTTAGTATTTCCCCCCCTCCACCCCTCGTAACCAACAAAGATTGTTTCTTTTTGTGTGTAAACTTTTTCATGAGTTTTTACAGTAGAGGTCTCATACAATATTTGTCCTTTTGTGATTGACTTATTTCACTCAGCATAATGTCCTCCAGTTTCATCCATGTTATGAGATGCTTCACAGATTCATCATTGTTCTTTCTCTTTGCATAGTACTCCATTGTGTGTATGTACCATAGTTTGTTTATCCATTCATCTGTTGATGGGCATCTAGGTTGTTTCCATCTTTCTGGTATCGTGAACAATGCCGCAGTGAACATGGGTGTGCATATGTCTATTCGTGTGATGGCTCTTGTTTCTCCAGGATATATTCCTAGGAGTGAGATTGCTGGATCATATGGTATTTCTATTTCTAGCTTTCTAAGGAAGCGCCATGTCATTTTCCAATATGGCTGTATCATTTTGCATTCCCACCAGCAGTGCATAAGAGTTCCAATCTCCCCCATGGCCTCTCCAACATTTGTTATTTCCAGGTTTTTTAGAAATCTTCATTTTTGATAAGCACCCTCCAGAGCATCCCAGGTTCTGGAATCGCACTTTGAGAAGTACTGGGAGGGAATAAACCCAAAGCCCCAGGACCAGAAAGGCGCTAGTGAGCTGGGGGACTCTGGGATGTGATTAAGCTCTCTGTGCCCCAGTCCCCCTTCCTATAGAATGGGTAACCAACGTTCACCACTATCATAAGGGTGTCTAGACACTGAGCGTAAGGATTTAGCACAGTGCTCAGCATGGCACCAAGCACAACAAACATCAGATGTGATGACCTCCATTTAATCAAAATTGGAGGTACCCTCTTTCTCCCCCAGGTTCCTCCACCCCATCCGATGAGTCACTGTCACACGCACACACATACACACACACACACACACACACACACACACACACTGTGCATACACTCTGAATGGCCTTCAGACCACCCCCCACCCTCCCACACCCCCTGCCAGAGCTGGGGAAAGGACCCATCCGTGCCTTGCAGAGGTGGATGGCCCCCGCCAGTCAGGAATTTCTACACTTGCCACAACATTCACCCAGAATTAGGAACAAATCCAAGACCTCATCAGGCTACGAGGGTAGCCCCAGAAGAGAGGCCCAGTGGCCATCACAGCCATAGCCCTACTCCCACACTGTCCAGAGACCCTAGAGACTTGGCCCTAGAGACCACTGCAACAGCGTGTCCCATCAGGACCCAGTGTCATCCTATTACCTCCCTGCTCAGGTCCTGAGGTGACTTCCTCATGGCTGTGTCCACAGGGCACACCCATAGGGCCAAGGCTTGGAGTAAATGCACCCCAGGCTTGCTGGGTGTAGGCCTCCACTTCCTTAGTTTGGCTGGTGAGAGGCTGCCTAGACCAGGGTGCTGAGGGGTCACCCACGACAGCAAATACGCCCAACAGAGCACCACCCAGGACTTCCAGGATACCTGGGTAGAATATTTGAGGCCTCAGGCAAGTGATTGCCCCACAACCCCACCTCACCTTGCTGGCTCCCCTGACTGTTACAGAGGGAAAGTTGCCCCAGACCACTTCTTCACAGACCTCCTCAGCCTGGCTAGCAGCCGTCTTTCACCCAGAACCCCCCAACACCCACCTTTCCTGCCTAGGGAGAGAGATAAGGAAGAGGAGATAGGCTTGGGGACACTGAGGCATCGAATGAGTGGGTAGGGCTGTCCTGCAACCTGACCACAGGGACAGCCCCGGTCCCACCAGCACCAGGCTCAGCGAACACGGAGCACTAGGAATAGCAGATATCTGGGGTGGGGGAGTCACCCCAGGTCAGGCCTTGGCCAGAGAAGCAGAAGTGGGTGTCTGAGCTCCTCAGAGTGGTGGGTCCCCATTTCTGGTGCTCAGATGGCACCTCAGTGAGCTGCACGGCTTGTGTCTAGTCATCTGCACTCCTGAGCCCCTTAGGCCTGGCTCTGATCCTGGAAACGGTCCCACTCCCAAGAAGCAAGATGGCCAAGGAAGGTACAACCTGGGACGACAGGGCTCAGCTTTGGAGACGATGGGGTTGGGTGAGCCCTTGTCTGCCGTGAGCCCTTTGCCAACCCCGGACCCCATCTTCCTGGTCTGTAAAACAGGAAAGAGCACCTGTGTGTCCGGGTTGCCTTGATGATTAATCAAGATCATGTGTCTTCAAGCGCTCAGCGCAGGGTTGGTGCACTCAAGAAACGGCAGCCACGACTGTGCTCAGGATTCTCTGGAAGACACCAGAAAACCGCCAGGAGTCAGGGCTTGGATGAGAGCTGCAGAGCAGAAGAGGAGTTTGGAGGAAGCAGCATTTGGAAGGGCAAGGCCCCCAGCAACCCAGAGCAGGCGAGCTGAGCTCCGGTGGGAACAAGGAGTGCACAGACTTGTGGGGGACCTGGCTGCAGTGCAGACAGGCCTGGGCCCTGCAGCTGGACTGTGGGGACTGTAGCTGAGGACCCCCCAGGGATTGTGGCTTCTGCCCTCCCTGCCAGTAGAGAGGGCCTCCTGGGACCAGCTACTGGCCCTTTGCCACCAGAGCTCTCCCATTCCTGAGCTATCCCAGAAAGAGCTGCCAGCCTCAGGCAGGCATGGGAGCACATAGAGATGCTACTAGTCCTCCAGGGGCTTGGCCTGTGTGACTTGCCCCCACCTCTACTGTGGCCACAGAGAGGACATGCTCAGGTCACACAGTGAGAGGGCCATAAAGAGCTTTGTGTCTCTCAGGCCACCCTGAGATGGGGCCAGCTTTACTGGGTGCCCATGTGGTGGTCCTGGTACCTCCTCATCAAGGGCAATCGAGGCCATCCTCACATCCCACAGGACTTCCCAGCCAACAAACCACATACAGAGGCATTATGGAAACTCCTCTGGGGGTCTTTCAGTTTATGGAAGCTCAGAATTAGGCTTCAGAACAGAAGCTCATCCGCCAGACCCCCTGCTGCCTCAGAGAGAGTGCTGGCAACAAGGGTGGCAGAGGTGGAGCCCCAGGGCCATCTCAGGCATACA